TTTTAATAATTGTGTTGTGGCATCTTGTTGTGGCTTTAGCTTGAATTAATTACTAATGATTTGAGTATATTCTCCTGAGCTTACCTGTTATTCATTTATCTTTGGTAAAGTGTTCGGTTCCATCTTTTACTCATCTTTTTTGTCAGGTTGTTTTATTTATGAAGTTTTTGTTTTTTGGTTCTCTTTGGTACCAGGATTGAACTTAGGACCTTGTGCTTGCGAGGGAGGCACCACTGAGCTAAATCTCTAGCCCTAATTTGAGTTTTGAGAGTTATTTTTATATTCTGGATACAGACCCATCATCAGACATGTGATTTAATGTATTCTTATCTCATATGATTGCGTTGATTTCCATATCTGTCTTTCCGGCTACAGTGAAAATTCAAGACTAAACTGGGGAGAAAAGGAAACTCAAAAGACAGTTGTTAAAATGTCAACAGATTAATAAAACGTCAGAAAGTGAATCATTTGGCTCTTTTAAAAGTAAATTTTATTTTATTTTATCTCATTTTCCCCTCAAGTTCCTTCCCCTCCTTATGTACAAAAGCTTTGTTTCCATTTTTTCCCTTTTCTTCTTGTCCCTTCCCTCCTCCCTGTTCCCCTTCCCATTTGAACCCTTTCTTCCCATTTCTCAGTATCCATTATACATCTCAGTCCTTATTTCCACATTCATTTCCTCACACCAGAGAAACGCCGTGGTACTTAAACATGTGTCTCTGATTTATTTCACTTAAGGGTATGGCCTCAAGGTCCATCCATTTAGCTCTAAATGTCTGAAGCTCATCCTTCTTTATGGCAGAGTAGTACTCCGTTGTATTAAAAAAAACCCCACATCTTCTTTATCCACAAATCAATTGTGGGCATTTGGGCTGTTTCCAAGATTTAGCTAATACAAACCGTGTTGCTATATACAAGGGTGCTCATACATTGCTGTGGTATGATGTTTTTAATTCTTTCGCGAAGAGACCCAGAACAGGTATAGCTGGGTCCAAAGCAACCTCTAGTTTAAATTCTTTGAGAAATCTTCAGGCTGATTTCCACAGTGGTTGCGCTGTGGAAAAGCAGTGGAGAAAGGTTCCTTTCTCCCCACAGCCCTGCCAGCATTTGTGATTGGTTGATTTCTTGGTAGCAGCCATTCTTTCTGGAGTGAGGTGAAATCTCAGCATTGTTTTAATTTGCATCTCTCAGATGATCAAGGACCACCTAGTCAGGGGGAGAGGGGAATGGGGTAAAAGAATTCTCCTGAATTAACCATTAACACACACGAGGCACATGCAGTGCTCAGGCACTCGACTAAGCATTGCCTGCCTACTCACACTTGGACCCCACCAGCACTCTGAGGTAGATGGAATCACACTTACAGAGGACAGTGAGGCCCAGAGAGGTGAAGTCACTAGTCCAGGGTCACACAGCCAGCAAGCAGAGGAGTCAGAATACAAATCCACGAAGTCTGGCCCCAGAGTCTGTGGTCCTACCACTACGAGATAGCATTCATGCCAAGTGCTTCTGTGGGCTCTGAAGGTCTTCCAGAAGCTTCCTCAGTGCCTAGTTACTCTGTTCTGAAAGCTGGGAGCAGCCCCTCTGATCTGCTCTCTCTCTGCAGAGTAGTGGTCTCTCCAGTCGTAGCCTGGACTCAGGATAGGTGGAGCCCACCCTCCAAATGAGCTGGACGTCAGGGAGCATCTTGGGGGATGGAGCGGGGACTGCAACCCTCCCCACACACACGTGGGGGAGGCCAGATTTCTCTTCCCCTGGCCTTCACTAGATCCTGGCTGATGTGGATGACAGATGCAGAAACAGGCTCAGCCAAAGCAAGCCACATGCCCAAGAGTCCCTGCAGAGTAAAGAGGCAGACACGCCAGGTGTGGTGGCGCATGCCTGTAATGCCAGCACTCAGGAGGCTGAGGGAGGACTGTCCCAAGTTCAAGGCCAGTCGGGGTTACATAGTGAGTTCAAAGCCAGCCTGAACTATGCAGCAAGACTCTGTGTTAAAAAAAAAAAAAAAAAAAAAGAGAGAGGCAGACCTGACTTCCTAGGCCATTTCCTCCAGGAAGCCCTCTAAGAAGAGTCTGTCTGACCACCCTGCTTGCTGTTTCTCCAGCTCCCTATCTGTTCTAAGGCTGCCTCACGTGCACCCCAGGTTATGGATAGGGAGTTTAGAAAGTTCTGTGAGACGGGAGTCTCTTCCTGCACTGTTCTCAGGCCCTATTCCAACATGTCCACTCTCCAACTCCTATAAAGAGCTGGATGTGAATTATACCACTCAATTGTGTGAGGTCTCCTGAGGATCACTGAGGCACAGAGTGGATGATGTGTGACCGAGGTCACCAGCCTGTAAGCAGTGTGCACCCCGAGTAACTGGAGCCGGAGGCCACCTTCCTCCCTCTGGGTTCCCTGGCCTTGAGGCTCTGGGTGGAAGTGAGCAGGCGCCATCAGCCCCCTGCCTTCTGCCGTCCCCACCCACCCCAGGTCTCACCTGAGATCCAGGTCTAAGCCAGCCAGCATCTGGGTGAGGACCCTGAAGGTACCTTCCTCTTCGGGCGTCCGTGTGCCACTCAGCTCTTCTCTAGGAACGTGGTTCAAGGGAGCCGGCTCAGGGTGGCTGTGGGGCCTCTCCCTGTGCCCTGCCCAGGCCACATGCGGAAGACTCATCATCTCAGGCCCAGCTTTGGTGGCAGCCTCTATGTCCCAACTCACCTGGCCTGTGTGTCATTGATTCAGAGGCCACTAATGCCACAGACCCATCCCAACTCAGGTTCCACAGATCCACAGCGATCAAACAGGGCCAGTCTCATAACCCTCAACAGAAGCACCTAGGCCCCTATCCCCACCCCAAGTGGTGCTTCTGGGGGGAACACCAGGCCAAAAGAGCAAAGGGACTGAGCAGCCCAGAAAGTTTTCCAGGAGCCTGGCTGCCACCCCAGCTCCACACACAAATGGCTTTCTTATAACCTAATCCTCATTTCCTCTCCTCCTCCTCCTCCTCCTCCTTCTTTTTTATTTGAGTTTGCAAAACAATACTCCCCGACATTTGATATTTTCAATCTCGATTTTTCTGCTAAATATGATAGATCCTACTGTCTCACAGTATGAGTCTAATATAAATTATTCACCTCAAATCGAGCACTTGGGAAAATAAGTTAGGAAGCAAATTCAAGACAGCAGAGTATAAAGCAGCCTAATCCAGCGGTCTTCAGCCATTTCTGAGTCACGGTCAGCTGCATTAGACCTGCAGTTGTTCAACATCTGTGAAAGCCAACTCCTGGCCCCAAAGCCCAGAGTGTACACCAAATCCAGAAGGGAAGAAGCCAGTCGTTTGGCTTTACTAGCTCCAGTAGGGGGCGCTGGAGGCTTGGCCTGTCTTGTTTTTGCTCCTCACTGCCACAGGCTGTCACTGTTGACAGGTGGTCCCACACGGCCGGATCAAACCAAGGGCTTCCGCAGGTCCCAGTTTCTGGTTGCCCACCGTGGGTTTCTGAGGGAGGACCCCCTGCTTCATTAGGGTTCAGTCCAGCTCCAGGTAATCCTTGTATTAAATATAATACTGGAAATAGCTTAGAGCTCAGTACTTTTTTTCTTTTCTTTTTTCTCAGTGCAGGTGATTAGAGGGTGGAGCCCAGGCCTCCCCGTGTATGCAAGGCCAGCACTCTACCGCCGAGCTACATCTCTAACCAGTACTTTGGTTTAGACATCACACCTCCTTTGTTCCAGGCGCTTCCCCTTGTAGACTTGGGTCCTCCTCTTACCTTTCCTTCCCAGAGATCCACACAGCCAGTGGTCAGCTAGCCCTTCTCCTGGCCAATTCGCAAAGCCCAGAAGGTCTCATTACAGTTTTTTTTTTCCAGTATAGTAACATTCCTAAGGTTAGTTGCTTTCATTGCTTAGGAGGCTCCAGGCCCTAAAAGTTTTTGTTTTATTTTGTTTTGAAATAAAGTCTCATTCCGTACCCCAGGCTGCCCTAGAACTCATGACTTTCCTGCTTCAGCCTCCAGAGTGCTGGAATTACAAGTGTGAGTTTACTTGATCCAGAAGCCCAGATCCTGTCTTTCTGAGGAGGACTTGTGAACAAAGGGGAAGATGTCGGTTCTACTCTCAAATATGTACAAAGGGACAAAACTCACTGCATATTTTGGCAATTCAGAAATGGTTATCTTGTTACAGTGAATCAAAAAGGTTGTGTGTCCAGGGTCCAGAAATACAATTTCATGAAACCTCACATAAATGTGTAAAGCTGTAGATTATTATCTCAAGGCTGTTAAGTAATTCGTTCAAGAACACAAATTACAAATAGCCAAGTCTTTCTGATTCTTTGCTCAAACTGAGTCATCCTAATCCACTGGCTTTGGAACAGAGCTGCACACTGCCAGATTGAAAACCGGATGTGTTTGGGTTCATTTTTGCCCTTAAAATCTTTTCACTATGTGTTAGTTGCCAATGTTTAAAAATTAGATTTGGCAAAATCTTTAGGGGTCCCCGCCATCTTGGAGAATCGGAAGGTCTGGCAGCCTTCTTCCTGCAGACGTGAGGCCGCCAGAATGGACGAGCAGCCCCTTTGCAAGCCCTGGGCGTCTTCTCCCTCACAAGCAGGCTGAGTGTCGATTGCACGCGGCCCCTGCCACTCAGCCCTCCTGAGTTATATAGTTATCTGCTTGGCGCCTGTTGGCATAGTATTTGTAACCCCAGATCTAGAGAGAGGGGGGCCTACTTTATGGAGGTGACCTATGCCCAATGACCAGTGACTCCCCCAAGATTGGGACGTGACAGGTGGGAGAGTTAGTCTGTGACGGAGAGGGGTGATGTGTCTGCTTCTTTCTGGCACAGGAAGAGCCAGGATCACTATCTCAGAGGCCTGGTTTCCCACTGACCCCACGGGATGCCTAGTGGTTGTCTGCCTAGCCTGCCCCTTGTGCCACACTGCCCCCTACAGCCCATAAGAGAAAGACACCTAGACAGATAATACGATGCGACTTAGTTTTATTAGGACAAGGACGGCAGGCACTGGGGTGGCACTTTCTAGGGCAAGGGGAGGTGCTGGGTGGGTGACGGAGACACTGTGCTACTAGAAGGCACAGCTACTTTCCACAAAGCGGCGACACTTCATGACCCGCAGGTAGGTCTCAGTCTTGTGCAGGTCCTTCCTGAAGCAGGACAGCAGCCCGTAGTTCTTGAGCAGCGCGTCACTGCTGCGTAAGTTGGTGTCAAACTTGTCATAGGTTTGCTTGAGGACCTGCCCAGCCCGGGGGCTGCCATCTTCCAGCTCCTGTCATGAGGAGGAAGGACGCGAGAGGCCCAGTTCCTGGGAGCCCTGTCCCCTCCCCATCCACTTTCCACCCTCCCATCAGGGGCCTAGAGGATTCAAAAGGGGAATGAGGAATGAGATTCTTCCTCCTGCGTCAGGCCTGGCTGGTAAAAGAGCGGCAGCATTTCCCTCCTCGGCGCTGTGATGCCCCCCAGCCATTAGCTGGCCAGTGGGACTTTTAGGCCCAGGCAGAGGGTGGTCATGGCTCCAGAGAGATCCTTACCTGCATCAGAGCCTGGATGCCCTCCTCCAGGTCCTTCAGTTTCTCATAGACACGATCCGAGGTGCCGAACACCAGGCTGTTGGTGAAGACCCTGCTGAGAAACTGCACAGGAGCCAGCCACGACTGGATGAGGAGCAGTGAGAAGCGCAGCAGCTCCGCGTCCTGCGGGAAAAGTCGGGGAGATCGGTGCACAGCCAGGGTGGCCTCTGCTCGGCCTCCCATGGCCTACTCTGGGAGAGAAGGGGTCCCCCAGCTGGGGTGTGGGCAGGGCCGCTGGGAGGGAAGGGAGAATGGTCTTCCCAGAGCCTGGGTAGCGACTCACGGATCTCTGCTGGGCCTCTTCCTTGCCCGTGGGGGCTGGGATGGTCTCGGAGAAGCAGAAGGCAGCCTGGGTGTTCTGGATGGAGTAACGTTGTCCCTCGGGGATGTAGGCACGCTCCTGGGAGAAGCGCCATGGCTCAGGTCTGGGCTGGTGAGCAGCTTTTGTAGCTACTCTGTTGGGACTCACCCCCCGCCCCTCCGTTTCCGCTCATCCAACAGCACTTCACTTACATACAACTCTGAGCCCCTTGGGGTTTCCTCCCATTATTTTCCAGGGGGGATTGACCCTCCTGGCCAGGTAACCATCCCTAAGGAGCTTACAAATTCTTTGTAGGTATCAGCCGCCAACTGGTGCAGGTGCTGGGCTCGGAGCACTGCATTGGTAAACAGGCTGGACAAAGGCATGGCCGGGAAGGCCCCGACCTCCTGAGGCTGGGGCAGGGAGAGCAGGGCGAAGACTAGGAGCCAGGTGGTCCAAGAGCCTAGGGAGAGACAGGAGGGTGGGGAAGGCCCAAGAGCAGGGGACCACGCTCTCCCTGCCCCAGGGCAACTCCTTCTCCTCCCACTGAGCCTAAGTACTGAGAACATTGTCAACATGGCCATATGTTGGGTTTATACTGCTGTAGTCATATTCAGAAACCCCAAAGCCAAGGGTTAGTTCCCTTATCCAGTCTGCAGGGCCCCTGCATCTCCCTTAGTCCACACCGTGCCCAAAGGGACTTTGGGGCCACTTACCTGCAGCCATTGCAGCCGAGTGAGCTGTCCACAGGACCAGTTTAGGGATCTGGACTCTGGGATCATGGAGTTGGTCCCTTGTGGGCCCTTTTTATACCCTGGCCTCTTCTCCCCCACCACAAGGCCACTGCATGTTTTCTCCATATTTTTATGCATGGGGCCACCAACGTTTGTGCTGATGGATAATTTAGAAGCTCTTTTCACTCAGCCTGTTCCCGCCCCTCTCCTGGGGTCATGCCCCTGGGGCTGGCAACATCCCCATGCTCGTGAGGATTGTGAGGATTGTGCGTAGGGGATATCTGAAGGAGAGAACACCCAACCTCCTCCCTTAAAGGGAAGGTAACAGAAGCTGAATCCAGGGTCGGTCCATCAGGATGCTGATGTGCAGTTGTCTACCAGAGCGGAGAGAGCCCAACACAGGGTTCCCCAAGATGGGACAGTGTCAGGATGACTGCTTCTTGAGAGCAGTGCTGAGTCCTTCCCATTCTCTGTTCTGTCCCTCTCCTCTTTCCTGTACGGTTCCCTTCCACCCACCAGAGAGAATTATGTGCTTGAAAAGGAGACCAAGGATAGTCAATAGATTCTGGGGGTTCTGGGCATAGTTCAGCTCCAAAGTCCTGACTTGCTTCCCCCACCCCATGCCCTCCTTGTGGCTGAGGCAGCTGATTGTGGTGGTAAATAACCCGTAGAGGGCACGGACCCCACGTATCGCCTCTTTCCCAGACTGCTGAGACTCTCCCAGTGTCTGTGGGGCAAAGGACTCAAACTTGAGGTATTGTACTTGTTTTGGTTGGGATTTATTAGGTAAGCTTACAGGACCAGAGGGAGGAGATTCCGAAATAACCATCTGTGCTCTAGAGAGCCAGAAGATTCAGCAGCAGTCAAGGTCTAAGGCCTGAAAGCTCACAGTAGAGTCACCAATGTGAGCCTGCATTGGAAATCTGAGGAAACTGGAGACCAGTGTCTAATGGCAATGGCCAAGACTGGAAGTCCTCTGAAACGAGCTCTGCCTTCTCCTTTCCCTTTTTATTCTATTCAGACTACAAGTCTATTGGTTGATGCCACAGATGTCTGGGGTAGATCTTCCCCTCCTCAATTTACTGACCAACACATCAACCACCCAGACACATCCAGAACTTTACTAATCTGCTAGGCAGTTCTTATTCAAGTCAAGTTAATATGTCACAATTGATGGTCAAACCTCTCTTCAGATCTGCCACAGAGATGCAAACCAAGAAGCACATGTCCTGGAAACAGAAAGGGGCCACAAAATGCTTCTTTGCATTTGCCCTGAAACCTCAGAGAATCTCAGAGTAGGGGGAGCCTTTCAGGGCTTGGGTCTTCCCACCAATAGATACAGCTCCCCGAAAGCACCGTAGGCAGCCATTGTAGTTTCTTGCTCTTCTTTTTCCTCCTTTTAGTGTCAGGCCAGAGCTCATCATAGATATGAAGGAGATTCCTATGCATTCTCACACTGAACCCTCACAACTGTTGTGAGAACAAGGTGTTATTCACACCCAGTTTTCAGAGGAAGAGACTGAGGCTCTGAGAGACCAACGTCATGAACCGAATCAGCCAAGATGAGAACTCGCCATAGCCTTGAATTTGCTATGTTCCGTCATCCAGAACCCTTTCTCCTAGCAGACTGTGTGGTGCCATTGAGTTATTTTTAACTTCTAAATCCCTCTGAATGCCAGGACCCTGCCCTAAGTCACACATTTTGTCTTCCTTTAGGTTGATCTCCTTCTATTTCCTGGTGAGAGTGACCCAGTAGCGTGGGGTGCACATAGGAAACCTCACAGAAGAACAGCCCCTCCTTTTAGTGTCAGGTCCAGGCAATTCTGTCAGAGAGAGCTCTTCAGGGTCAAATGCCCTAGGGCTGAGAGCAGGAAAGAACATACTCTCCTGCATTCAAGCCTTCCATCCCTGAGTTTCAAAACATAAGGCACTTGAAAATAAGCAAGCAAATAGAAGTGGTTGGTTATACGATTGGTTATGATGTTGCCACCAAATGGCCCAGTGTTCTAGAATGTGAATTCTTGGGCTTCACCACCTCTTCCATCTAGGACCGGAAGACAGAGCATCGTTCTGTCCCAACATCCCCCAAGCATTGGCCCCTAGTGGGACCACCTTTTGTCACCTCCTGGGAGGTCACTGGGACCCTGGGGAATGTTCTCCAGGCAGGCTTAGAGGGCAGTCGCCTCAGGCTCTGAGAAAGATGGGAATATCCTTTCCTCTCCTTCTTCCAGCTCCACCAAAGAGTAGGGACCAGGAAGCAAGTGGAGGAGAGCCCCTGAACCCGTATAGCCTTCTGCCTCATCTTTGAATGAGATTTGGGAAGTCACCCAGTCTTGGCGCACACCTCTCTGAGTCCTTCAGATTTAGAGAGGGCCCAACAGTGGTCTCTGGGTAGCCTGTAGGGAGAAGCTGTGATTAGCAACTTCTATCCACATCAGCCTCCACAGGCTCAGAATGAACCCTGAACTATCTTTAAAGAACATTCACTTTATAACTTGGAATCCATGAATACCTTCCAGTTATTTGGAAGTTCTTCATATATCTAGACTGGTCTACATATCAATCATCCACAGACACATCCGGAATATTACTAATAAAGTGCCTTGTCCAGGGTCTCCCAGTTCCTAAGCAATAGTTACCCAAGGTGCCTGATCTTTCTACCATGCCAAGCCCTTTACAAGCCTCAGCTGTTAAAGATGGCAGCACTGCTTGGCATGCACAAAACTTTCCTCAGTGCAAAGCCAGCAGGGCAAGTTCAAGTCCTCTGTGCAGGTGTTCAATGAAAGTGGTGGGAATTGAATGCAAGGAAAGCCAGCTCCAGAATGAGGTGTCCACAGGCACTAAGAAAAGCAGTAGAGAAAAACAACTCGATGTAGCCTGATTTAGTGAACCAGATCACATCAGCTTCACATTTGCACTGCACGTTTCGGTGTGCATCATGTTTTCACTTCCTGTATCTCAGTGGACCCTTGAGTTTGCCCCACTTTGTGGCCAGAGGATTCAAGCATGGAGGAGAACTGGCGGGGAGAAGGGGGCAGGTACTGCTGTGTATCGGTAGGGGTGTTGTTTCTCCTGAGTGATGATGATCCCCAGCAATGTACAAGTACCATTCCTGGACTTGCTAAGTGACGTTCCTTTGGGGAATTATTCCCTAGGAAGAGAATCCCACTGACGACATTATTGTGGGCCATTGTGAGTTCCAGACGTTGTAGGAAGTCTGGATGCTTTTCCTGGTGGGTGCCCTCAGCTGGAAATAACCACTCCCTCACTTTATCTTATCCTGTGGTATCACTTCTCAGGCTCTTGGTTAAAATCAAGTGTAATATCTTATCCTCTGGTTATCCGTGGACATCTCTTTCCCCTGACTGTACTGTAAGCTCTTTGAGGCTCCAGTCTTGCCTTCCATTCATTCATTTTCTTCTTCAGATATTACTGCTGCTTCTTCTTTTTTTTTTTTTTTCTCGTAGCTAGGATCAAACTCAGTACCTTGCACTTGGCAGGCAGGCAAGGTGCCACCGAACTATATCCCCGGCACCCAAGGCATTACTGATGCAGTACGCAGTCACCACCCAGGCCTTTTACCAGACACCGTGCCGGGTAAATATGTATATCTAGATGAACAAAGGACACGGTCCTGTCTCTTCCGGAGTCTACTGGTGAGAGAAACAATAGCAAACAAATTAATATGCTGTGTAATGGTAAAATACCGGGGAAGGTGGGTTTAGGCCCAGGACAAAAGTATTTTTAAAAAATTGTATTAGGATCAATCAAGATATATTTTCACATTAGAACTGCACTCTGATTGAACTCTGGATTTAATGTCTGCTAAATTTTGCTCTCTTTAGTCGCCTTTGTTTCCAAATGAAGCCCTGCGGGTAGAGAGGGCAGTGGGGTGACTCAAGGGGAAGGTGGTTGTTGCAGGACAATGGGGGACCAGAAGTGTGTCGTAGCTGGGGGAGCTTGGAGACCTGGGACACATCTAGGAACTCCCCAGATGTAGGGTCTGACTCCTGTTCTGGATTAAATGGAGCAGATAGAATCCAGACATCCAAATATTGTGTTCCCCCCATGGCCTTTGAGGCTCTGTGCACTTAACCTGACCAGGTCAGACCCTTGCTGCCTGCTGTTGTTGCCCAAACAGCAGTGGCTTTTCACATTTTTTTTTGTTTCTCTCACCTCTGGAAAAACACCCAAAGCCTTGGGTCAGCTCAACCTAGGCTAAGCAGCACCTGCAGAGAGAGAGGGCCGGAAGTCAAGCTAGAGTGGAGGAGGAAGTAGCCTGGGCTTAAACCAGGGTCCCCAGGGACCCAGCTGGATTCCCCCAGTGGGTGGTGGTGGTGGGGTGCCCACCAGGGGGTCTCAGAGCTGCATTCCGGGGAGGAGGAGGCCAGGAGGAGCTGGGCTCCTGCAAGGATGGTTAAAAGGAAAACTCTTGAGGGTTCAAGAAGCAAACTTCTTCAAAGGGCCGAAGTCTGAAGATAACCAAGACTGTCCCAGAATTCTCTCCCCTCAGTCCTTTCCTTGCTCCTGTGCTTCAGTCTTGTTGCTGTGAAGTCTGTTAAGGGAGGTCACTATGATGCCGTTGGATGTGTAATGAGGTATTTGGAGCCAGAAGACGTGTGTGTGACTCATGGCCAATTCTGTTAATTTCCTTGGCCTTGACTTTTTTTTTTTTTTTTTTTTTTTTTTTTTTGGTAAGACAGAGATAAAGTTAGCTTCTTTCAAGTTTATAGAGAAGTTTAAGCAAGGTCATGTAAATGAGGATGGGAACGCTCAATAAAATTTTATTGGTGCTTCTGGCATAGTGACATACATCCATAATTCAAGCTGCTCAAGAGGCCGAGGCAGGAGGATTGAAAGTTCCAGCTCAGCCGAAGGAAGCAGTTTAGTGAGAGCCTGTCTCAAAAACAAACAAACAAACAAAAAACCCAAATGAAACAAACAAACAAACAAATACCCAAAACATAAATAAAAAGGGCTGGGGATATAGCTAGTGTGAAGGCATTGGATTCAATCCCAAGTACTGAAAAAAAATTAATTATTTTCATTTAAGAAGTCTTCAAGGGGCCAGGGATGTAGCTCAGTGGTGCCGCACCTGCGTGGCAAGCACAAGGTCCTGAGCTGGATCCCCGGCTGGGGGTGGCGAGGTGTTCATTTGGATATTTGCTAGGCTCAATAAAAGCTTTTGGTTCATGTTTTATATCCAAATGATGGAGGTGGTTATACAAATTTATATGCTCTAGAATTCATACAGAGGCTGGGGATGTAACTCAGGGGCACAGCGCCTACCTGGCAAGCAGAAGGTCCCGAGTTTGATTTTTGGTACCAGAAAGAAAGAAAGAAAAAAAAAAAAAAAAACCAAAATTCA